AGCATCTCAACATTTTTGCAGTGTATTTTATGTTTAGGTAAATGCCTAATGAACATCTAAATTACAAAGAATATAAAAGGATTCAAACAGTTATTATAAATACTGAATGAGTAATTTGAAGACGAGAGTAATTACAGATATTACACATACTGTGTATTAATGTGTGTGTGTATATATACACACATATATACACATATACACATACATACACACATTTATATTAATATATATGCATCATTATATGCATATATTATATGCATATATATTGTCTATGTGTTTATGTGCATGCACATATTAATGTGTATATCTATTTATATACACATCAATATACAATAACATTAGACCATGCAATAGATCTTTTGCATTAATAGGCAACTAATCCTTCTTATTACTCTCCTTTTGGGCAAGATCTGAGAGTTTAAGACTCTAACATAACAAAAGCATTTTTTTTACAGGACACTTTAAAGCTAAATACAAAATCAAACACGCAGTGAGAATTATCTACTGTTCTACTGTTTGGGTTTTATTTTTTCTTCAGCCTGCTGTTATGCTATGTCTTATTCATTATTATTCAGAAGTCAGCAAGTTTTCTGATAGCAGTACAGATAGCCTCCTGTACATGACAAACTCTGCAACCTCCACGTTAAGTCAAAGGAGATAAAAGCTCCCATTCTCTCCCATTTTCTACGAAATAGGAAAAATTAGCTCCGGACAGTTTTCAGTACCAACTTGTAATCAAAACAACATCCTTGAGAAAAAATCTTCGTCTCAAAACCATTAACAGAAATTTCAACTTACAGATGTGCTTATGGATGCCATTACAGACATTCAACAAACCAGACTGATGTTCTTATACATTCTAGAATTCAACAGCTTGATGATTAATCTTTTATCTGCCTCCTGTCCCCACAAAAAGGAGGTTTAATACTAACAACAATGTGAAGTTAAGCTAAAGAAAAACAATTCCACTAAGATTACTTAGCTGTCTTCAAAATTATATACTTGGATCACAAAGTTGCTATGGCATCAACTTCAGGTCTGTGGTTAGACACACAAAATGTTTTTTTCCTACAGACTGTTATGGGAAGCTGAGCAGCTCTGGCTACAAACCAAACATTTTGGCTCTATAGTAGACATAATTTATCATCATTTGGACATTCCAATGGTTAGCAAAACTAAGAATGCAGGACAACCAGCACTTTAGACTATCCAACTAAAGGAAGCTCTAAATACATTTATTTTCCCTAGCAATTGCAAGTAGAAATTGTATCCACCTTCCTTGAAGTACAATAAAATATCATGACATTGTTTTCCATCACTTAACTGTCAGAGCAGAACAACGGAGAAGTCTTTGAACATGTTTGTTTTTGGCAGCTGCATATCAAACTACCGTGGGAGGAAACTCTGGAGGATGCAAGACGCCGCATTTCTTTCCCCTACTTCCTGGTTAATCGAGAAACTTCAGGATATTTTTAAAGCCACAGCTATCAAAAATATGAGCCGAGGGAGGCTTTTTGCAAACAGCTGACAGACACATACAGGACGATCCTGCAAGCCTCCGAAATACTGCGGATAAGTCAAACACATTTAACGTACTCTAAGGCCTCTTAAAAATTGTTTTGCATTTAGCAATCACAGAAGCCCAGCGCAGCCCTTGCCCTCCAGCCGCCAGCTTTCCAGCAGTAAAGCAGCAGCAGGATTTGCTTCCTCAGTCAGGAAACACGGCTACCAAAGCAGACCAGGTAAGTGCCACTGCGGGAGAGACACGGGATGGGTACAAAGCAGCGAGCACAACCAGAGGACACCCATCAGTATCACACTGACAGAGATCTAAATCTCCTTATCCGGGCTCATCTCCACAAAAAGATTTATTCAGTTATATTCTATTTTTGGGAAAATTCATTCAGAACCCAGGTTACTTACTCTCTGCTCAAAAAACATACAGGCTTATATTTGAAAGTGCATTACGAGATCAAGACTATTGTACATTAATAAAAAAAATGCTGCTGCAAACGGGTGTGCACACGCAGCCTCCCTAAATACTATCCATTCTTAAAAACAAAAGCATAAGTAACTTAAATTTTCTGTTTTTCTGCACTCGACTAGAACATTTCATGCATTTTTGTTTTTTGACAACTGATCAGGACATGCCACCTGACTCAATAATACACTGCTACCCTGCTTACTTGCACTAGTAACTATAGGTGCAAGGCATTACTAAGGAAACAGCCAGTATGCTGTTTTTTTTTTTTTTTCCCCGTAGCTGTGTCTCCTTCGAGCACTACTACTAAAAATGAAGAAACAACGAAAAAGCCAGGTCTTCTGGAGAGCCCCACTTGTTTCCAGGGACAGCGGTGCGCCCCGGCAGGGCCGCGCTGGCGGGGCCGGGCTCGCGGGGCCGGGCCGGGCCGGGCCGCTCGGCAGGCGGGCG